CAGGACTGATCAGACTACAGACTGAAGAAGAACGGAAAGAATATGAAGGGAACATTACCAAAGAATTGAATAGAATTACGCAGAACGAGAATGTAGATCAGGCATGCTAACAAGGGTACTAAAGTCAAACAGCAACCTTGGTTCGATGATCAATGCAGAGAAGAATTGGAAATGCAAAACAGATTACGACTAAAAATGCTAACACAGAAAACAAGTGAGGCGGAAAGTAACTACTCCTTGCAAAAGAAGAAAATGAAACAGATTTTAAGAGAAAAGAAAATATCACGAAAATAATCTACAGCACATAGGAGACAATTATAAAAACAAACAGATCAGAAACTTATATAAAGGAGTAAATAATGAAAAGCGGGGTTACCAAACTAGAACTACGTACTACAAGGATAAAAATGGTAAGAAGATATTCGATGAGGAAGAGGCCCTTGCACGCTGGAAACAATACTTTGAGCAGTTGCTAAACCCTGCAGACGACGCGGCCAATGACTACAACGAGAAAAATTCAACAACCCATCAAAGACCTCAACTAACTGAAGAAGATCCGCAAACATTATCGGTAGTCGAAAACCTCATAAGCATCCTGAAAAATGGTAAGATCCAAAAATGTTTAATCTGTTTTTAACTTGTCTTGTCATATTTTATATAATTTTGACCATTGTACCATCTATCCAGCTCTCACCATGTTTCTGGACGTTTCCCTCATCCTATACGTAAACAACAATTAGCAACATCCTCACATACTACTCTCCTGATGATGATGGCAAAGTCCATTGAAAGCTAGAGAGAATTAAAAAAAGTATAAAGAGTCCTCTTTGCTTAAATTTTGTCGAAGTACCCAACAAAAGGCGGAAGCTATATATATATATATATATATAACTTGAGACGTGGTCATTGTCGTCTAAACCAGTTAGGTGAAAAATTAAAGCTTCCGCCTTTTGTTGGGTACTTCGACAAAATTTAAGCAAAGAGGACTCTTTATACTTTTTTTAATTCTCTCTAGCTTGGAGTGACTTTAATTTTTCGCGTCACCGATTCATACAAAGATAATACTTTATTTTTAAAAAAAAAAACTGATCGAAATTAAAATCGATGAGAATGCAGAAGCGACGCAGCATGTGTTAAAGCTTAGAGAGCGCGTAGCCGCCCTATCTGAGCCAACCATGGTGGAAATCGTCGAGGAAGCAATACAATCGAATTCCGAAAGTAGCACATCTACTTCCGCAACTTACTCTGACGACACCGTACAAGACCGACTTGAAATGGAACAACCGCGACTTAAACATCTATGCGAGTTTGAGATTGATGGAGACAAATTTATGCTCCGATATTTCACACAGTGCAAGAAATGCGGGATTGGGAAATGAAGATAGCCTAACATGAACGTCGTGTACAAAGTGTTATGGATAAAATGCGGTTAGTGTTGCCCGGATATGACCTCGAAGAAAGGGGAAGAAAGATCTTTAAGCGCCTGGAAACATGGATGCCTAAGCAAACCAAAGATTGATCCAAGCTAGATATACTTAGAAGCACTATATTTGTCTCTATCATGGAGGCTAATATTGAATCCGAACTTGGTAGTTTCTGCTTAAAGTTCGAAAAAGTTAAATCCCATTTAGATGGGCCAACTGACGGTTTGTGGATACACCCACCAGATGACAAGCAGCTGATAACAGCACTAGAAAGACTTGGAACCAATAGGATGATACTCAGCCGACGGTTTAAATTTAACAGCACGCAAACTAATAATCTTGTGAAGATTATCAAATCTAATGGACCCTGTGTACAGGGACCCAGGTTTAGTGCTTGACATCGTTGTGTCAGAAGCGCATTTAACGCAGGAGGAGATACTACATATAGTCTTCCCTAGCGATAAGCCAAAACATAACCAATGCATATATTGACGTAAATTTGTCGTCTATATTGTACCATACCAGATGCAAAGTGGTTGAGTGGCTGACAACACATGCACGATTCGTGTATGATGAAATGGAGCAGGTATAAAGACCAAAAGACTTCATTTATCTTAAACCAGAGAGCCGAGTTGCTTGGGTATTATGCTAAGCTAAAGCGTGACATAATTCAGAAGAGCGGAACGGAAACTATCATCTGGAAGCGTAACGATAATGGTACGCTAACAAAAGTACAACTACGCAATCAACGTGAAGCAGAAATCGTCGGAAGCTATCCCTGGAGGGTGGCTCATGGACTGACGCCGCCGCGTAAGATGTAGCGAACGTACTAATTAATGACTGTTGCCTTGCATAGACGCCCACTTCATTGTGGTTATATATATATATATATATATGCAGAGAGTGAACAGGATGTATATATATATATGACGTGTATATATAAATATATATATATATAATATATATATATATGTATATTTATATATATATATATTATATATATGTATATATATACATATATATATATATATATATATATATATATATATATATATATATATACTATATATACTTTTGACCAGAGTCGAGGACATCTCAGCCGCTCCTGACAAGAAGACCTACAGATAAGTTAATATTTAGGCGCAAAATATCTGTAAATACTTCGGGCGTAAACCATGTAGACGTTTCGCGGGGTTATCTCGAAAATAATTTTGTTAGGTTGTATTTAAGATTTATAACATCCTTTCTTTTTTTTATTACTCGCTCTCCAGTAGTTTTTTATTAATCAATATATGTGATTCATTTAATACCTTGTTTTATTTGGCTCTTTCTGTGTGTACTGTTACTTAAATTTCGTCATCTCTGTTAGATTCTCCTTTTGTGTGGTGATCAAGCAAAACAAGTTCCTACTAATATCTCGGGGAGTTGTGGCTTAATCCGTCCTAAGTCACTGGCGCTCTTAACCCGCCTCTACTCTCAGCTTTGTTGAGCTAGAGCCTAAATTTGCACGTCACTAGACAACTGTTTTGCTTGGACCAACCGTTAGATAGTATTTATCATTGTTTTATTAATTAACCAAAAAAAGGCGTGACAAATTTTGTGGCGCCCAACGTTTAGGGCCTATCATTTTAAACAGTACACAGAGCCAACTAGTTTGTTGAATTTTTTTTTGAACAGACTTAAAATTTTATTGAAACTTTTAGACAGAATTTATTATTTTGTTGTTGTTTGATTTCAATTGATATAAGTATTGTCGATGATTACATTTCCTTCCCTTCGTAAGATTAGTTTGTATGTCGGCAAGATATATTTCAAAATGGAAGTTGGTGACCTTAAGAAAGAGATGTTACTTCATGAGCTGTTAGTCCGTGGTGTTGCTGTTGACGGAAGTCATACAGTTGACAAATTGAGAGCTACCTTACGCTCCCTATTAAAGTTGTAAAAAGCTGGAACTTTTAAATTTCCACCATATAACCTTAATTTTGACGATGAAAAGGTGCAGATGCGGTCATTGCTGGATGAAATTAACGATACTATCAGTACACTTTCACTTCACTTACCGCTTCATCCAGGTTGGTCCACCTCCTCAATCGCGTTAATCGAAATATTAAAAAAAGCCCTAGAGAGAGACTATTTAAAAATCTACTCTACTCTCTGTCTCATTGAAAACAATCGCACTTGAAGCAAAACCATGTACACTTTTTTTTGTACAAGAAAAGTAAATCAAAGAAAAAAAAAGATAAAAATGTAGTAAGCTAATATACCCTTGTTATAAAAAGTTATGGCAGCTCAAAAATCAAAATCATGATCAATGTAATAGAAGGTGCCATGTAGGCGTTGCCCCCATATTTGAATACGTAGAATGTCCAATAAAATCAAGAAGTCTAAGAATTTCAATAAGCAATAATAAATGTATAAAGATCTATGAAATGGTTAATTAGAATGATATTTTACCTGTTCACATCAGGTTTTTTTTTCAAGGGGATGGCTTCCACCAATTTGCAAAACTGCAACAAGATGCAACCATCTGGAGGAGAAAGGATGATGATCCTCTTCTGTTTCTATTGACTAAAAGAAAGCAGATCTTGAACGAACGTCATCCGGACACGCATTAAGGCACGTGGTCCGAAGGTGTATAAAAAAGAACTTACCGCTGAGGGTCAAAATCCCATAAAGAAATGGAAGACGTAGCACCCAAACCAAAATGACTAAAGTTAAGTTACACAGAAAAGGGTGCTAGTCCATGAATTGGCGCTTGGGTCCTAATATCCAGAGGCCGGAAAATGACGAAAAGACCCCTGCACCACGACCTCAACGGAAACAGAAAAGCGAATCACGCAGAACACGTAACGTTCTAGAAGAAGGTATCTTGAGTGGCCTTGAAGAAGATATGTTTTATAGGAAAGCAACTAATGGAGAAAAACTACAGAGTTTTTTGCTGATCGTCAACACCATACAGAATCGCTGAAACGAGTGAAATTATACAATCAATAAACTATTAAATTTGCCAAAAGAAAATCATTGAAAAAGGTTTGCCATAGGAATGGGCACTCTATTATCAATGAAGAGAAATTCAAATTACGGATAAGTGATAAATAGTAATAAAAAGGTTACGTGATTTTGGCACGTGACAATCCAACGTTGATAAAAAGGAATCAACGGATTGAAAATTGGATTGAAAATTTAATATTTAAAAGCCTGCCTTTAAATCATAAAATAAAAGGGAAAAAGTTGAAAACTTTTGGTGCAATTATCTTCAGAAGGATGGCGTGAGGATCAATTCTTCCAATTTTTTCAGAGCATCAGGACTGCAAGATAATCGTGATGAAGATAATGCCCAAAGGGAATGTAACTGCATCAAAGATGTCGTCGGAGTGAAAGTTTGATCAGTTTTTTTTTAATGCACCTCTAAGAAAACTATTGTATCGGTAAATGAAAAATAATTTGGATTAAGCTACCGCTTCCCACAGAAAAGGATTCACCTTTAGACAAACAAAGCGCATTAAACGAAATACATTTTAGGTCAAAGAACGAAATTCTGATATTCTTCAGTTAATCCTTTTTGTAGTATGTATGTGGACATGTGATTTTCTTGCATAATTTTGCCGATATCAGGTATTTGCAGATACACGGCAGTTTTTGTTACATTTCTCGATTTATCTGGAACATAGCATAGCCGTTTATGAAAGTCTGCTACTCAATTGTAGTATAAGAAATCGGTAGCACCACATTTTGTTTGGCTCTTTGTACTGCAATACTTCTATGCAGGTTATAATGTCAGGTATCACATTAGATCAGTCTCATCAGGGAACGAACATTTTAACTGTTTCTATTGATAGACTCTGAAAATGTGAAGGCCACCCATTTCCTGATACATTCGGATGCTGGTCAGGAGTTGCGGCGGAGAGAACAATTGGGAGTTAATATATCATAATACATGTTTACGAAATGAGTATAACGTATTGTATCAAGAAGTTGCAAACGTGACCAAAGGAATATCTCTCGCTCAGACTTTGCTAGAACGTAATCACCTACTACGTATAGTACAGTAATTGGCGTCATTATTTGCTTGTATGTATATGGGTGCACTAGGACATCAACAAGAGAGTTCATCTAGCTAACGTAATGTAGTTGTAGCGCATCAAAATAATAATAATAATAATATTAATAATAGGCCTTTATTATTATTATATATTTGATTTGATCCAATGAACTCTGTTTTAGCTACATTGTTCAAAGGTTTTTACGGGTATTATTAGCCTGTTGCTAAACACCTGGAAAACCACTAAAATGAAATCTGTCAAATGTCAGGGGTTTAAGGGCGATATAAAATATATTGATTATAATCTTACACAAACACGATCATGTTTACGTTAATACATTTTACAACAATTTACTTCAGTGATGTAAGAAATATAAATTTTTCTGACGACGGTTTGGTTATGGAGAGCATTTTATTTTTCATAAGAGAACGTAAAGAACGAATGGAAGAACATCAAAGTCAAATTTAAAAAAGAATGTAATAAAATACCCAGAGGTCGCTCAGGGGATAGTCGATATAAGGATTCTTATACACAGGGCTATTTCTTCGGGCTATATTCACCCAAAAGAGATAGAGGGAAATAACCAAGTGTCTTCAGTTGTGGCAGAGCTTGGGGATGGAGAGACGAAACAGGACGAGAAAAGATCTGAGTGAGAAAAATGTATTCGAAGAAACAGACTATTTAATTCAAACTCTCCACATTCGCCGTTTTCGGTTCAGCCACCGAAAAAACAACGAACCTTACAAAAATGACCAGAAAATTTTATAACAATACCAACAAAAAATTGTCCTCCATGTTGCTTCATTGTGTGGTTAATGACTCACGCGACAGAGGGTTACCTCCTGACAGACCGAACAGACCGCAGAGGCACTGAGGAAGTCCCAGCAACAGAGACAAGGCCCCTCTCGTCGTACTATTACCCATACTACTTGCTCTACTAGATATTTGAGGAGCGGATTTCGCGCTGCATTTTTCTCCAAACTGAAAGTAAATAGAAGCCGGAGTGTTGCCAGATTGAGAAAAATTGTTGAGAGCTTTGGGGAGACGCTTCCATGCTCATCGGTTTCAGATTTGCTTGTAACACTGATTCATGATCCGGATGCATCTTCCCTGATGACAGACACCGAAGTTAATGACTTCTTAGAGGTCATTGATCACGATATGGCTCAAATGGCCTTAGATGACAAAGTGATCCAGAATAAACAGGAAGCAAAAGATGACAATGAGGTACATGTTGTCTCGCGCATGCATTCTTGCAGAAACTGTCACCTGCTATGTCCTGATCACAATGAAGTGTGTGCAGCCTGCCGGGCCATCATGAATGACGATATTGAGGAACCTTAAATCTAGCTCCTACATTTTTATGCCCATCGTCGTATGCAATTTGTTTTTCTATCATGTAATGATAGTAGCACTGAATGTATGTAAATTTTTAATTTGTGTTCATGTTCTTTTGGTTTTATGTTTTTTTATGTGTTCATGTTCTTTTAGTTTTACTATACGAGGCAGCAGCGGTGGCCGCAGTAGTAGACTCTTCGGTCTCCTGCGCTGTGCGGGTTCGAGTCCCGTCCCAGCAGAAAATTTTCTCTTGGCTATGGATGTTGTGATTGTCCGTAGGTGGTAGACGGTCTCTGACTGTCGAACGTGGAGGTACCACCCGGCAGATCTCGTAGGCGGAGCCAGAATGTGTGCATGTTGCATGCACACGTGTTCCCTCGCCAGAGTCCGTGTGGCGTCCCCCTTGCCCCTGTATCCCCCCATAGCCCCACGGTACCCAATGGGTGTTTACGCCTTAGGCCTTCGTGGTAGTTGGAGTATAAAAAAAGACCCATATACCAAAGAAGATTTCTACTCGTTAAAATTCTATTTAACCTCCGCATTCCGTTTAGCATAGAAACAAGTTGCCTGTCAGAAACTACTGCTTTCATTGGTGTTCCGGGGAAATAATACTAATTATGAGTTGGAGTATAACTAGATGCATTAAAAACGCCCAATGTTAGTTTCTACCCGTAAGCATGCATATGGAGGGAGTGGTAGTCTATAAACTACGTCGTAACCGTGAAGAGATATGGAATGAAATCTTAATTAATATTTTAAAAGCATTACTGCCAACAACAATTACACTGCCGAATTCTTCGTACAAGGTGACTTACTTATAATCCTCGCACAACTATGAGATTACAAAGAAAATAACTCATAATTCGAAGCAAAACAGATGACTTGGACAAAGCATTTTTTGATTTAGAAAAGATCATTGCTAGAAAAATAGGATATCACTGATGACGATAGGGATCTCATCTTTTTTAATTCCTTAATACCTCACGTCAGAAAACTTCCTTCACTCAACTCAGGAGTCAAGTACTAAGTGTTTTAATGAATGCCAAAATCAACTATCTATAATGACAATTTACCTTCCAGAGTATCTGCTGCTGTTTCCAGCAGCGCGATGTAACGGGCCAAGGTGCACACGTTCATCAAAGGATTACGTCTACCCGTGAAGAAACAGAATTCGCTTCACGTTTTTAATGGGAAACCCCTTTATGGTATGGTCTAATTATAAGCAACTAGAACTCTGTAAAAGTGATTTAACAGATAGGAAATCTAAAATATACCAAATTCACCATATCACTTGTAATAAGTTGTCTTGGTTAAAGAAACAGTTGAACAAGATGGGCGATTTGAGCTCAATTTAATCTTTGTAGAATTAGGGGAGACATCAGTTTATGGAAATCATTGAAAGTCAATTGTGGATAACAGAAGAGAAGATAACTAACAAGTTCGCTAATCACGCCCTTGTTGACATGAGGGATGCGTAAAAATTATAAGCAGGATGTGGCTTATTATCTAGTGAAGGATACTATGCACTATTTGTAATCAGGGCGCAGAGATCAAAACTGCACTTGAGACGCTTTGCTCGGAGAATATTCACGGACAAAGTTCATTCCATTTTATGGATTCGTTTAGGAATATGGAAGAATTTAATCCTTTAATGGTATCATCGGGTGAAAATTGACCCAGAGCATCTTTAATTCGTCTCTGATTCGACTCTTTCTCAGTTATGAGGTGGGATCCCGTGACTTCTCATATTCAAATTTGACCCGGCGATACCAGTTGCGTGTACGTTTTGAACTTCTTTCACAATGGATTTTTTCATTATTGACGGATGAACAATACACCAATACACCATAGACGATACCGAGGACGACGCTGTTATCGATCAACCCGAACAAGTTCCTGTGGTCGACCTCGATTTTGACACCGTACAGAGCGGACTCGGACTGTTCTTCAGACTTTCCACTAACATCCGTAGGCTATGATTATAGACAAAATCATGCACAAATGGTCAAAATTTGCGCCTGCAAATGGTCGAACCAGACGACATAATATTATTACGTATTTACCTAACCTAACTAAAACCCGTGGCAAGCAATTTGGAAGATAAGTACCTGTCAACTACAGATCTCTTCTCATAACCGATGAAATTATTAGCAAAATTGTGGATTGTACAAATAAGAAAATATATCCAGTAAATATGGAAAAACAGCTTCATATATAAATTACACAGATTCAGCCGAGATCAAAGCATTTTTTGGCTAGCTCTATTTGACATCAGTTTTCAAATCCAACCATCAAAATGTCGAAGGTTTATTTGCATCAGACTGCACTGGCAGAGACATTTTCCGTGCTACTAGGCCCCTAAAGAGGTTCATGTTTTTGCTAGCCACATAGAGGTTTCATAGTATTTCTACCAGTGACTCGAGAAAGGCAGATGCATTACGCCATACGTGAAATGTTTGAGATATTCATACCGAACTGAGGGAATTGTTATATCATGGGTGAGTCCCTGCAAAAGACGAGTTGCTCGTGGGCCGATGTTCTTTCTGAACATACAAGAATACTAAACAGAACAAGTAGGGACTGAAGATGCTATGCCTTTGTGATGCAAATACTCACTACCTGCTCAATGCTTTCGTCTAAACGAACAGAAATATCACCGCACATCACTGGTTCACGTCAATAGAATTAGATGTAGAATTGCGCAACAGCCAACTGACCTATGTCGGGAGGAACCGTAAAAATAAGAAAAAAATACCTCAATATGTAGTTCTAAATAATAAAACACGGCCAGGTACTTCTAAGTTTATGTACACTTGCACTACAACCTTAGTGTCGAAGTTCTAAAACCGAAGAAACACGTTCTCGTATTGCAGTATGATAACAAAATAGTAGAAGAATCAAAGAAGCCTGATATGATTCTATATTATTTGTATCACTCCATGAAGGCGGGAGGTGATGCATTAGATCGGAAGTATGTAAATTACAATACAGGTTAAAGAACGAGAAGATGGCCTTGTACTATTTGGTATCCTATTATGCATACAGCTTCTGTAAATTCCTTTGTTTTTGTTCCGGTCTGGGACTGGAAATTCTATTAGGCGACGAAATTTTATTGTTCCCTGAGGCAAACTCTAATTGAACTTCATCTGAGACGACGTTTATCGGAACCAAGACTACCTAGGGAGCTTCGTTCAGCCATGCAAAGAAGCCGTCGACTTCTCAGCCCAGAGTTCTTGATCCTTGCAGTTGTTAAAGTAAAAAATGACGTAGGTGTTACATGAGCCCGTCTCACAACGACAATAAATGTTCTACAATCTGTAATAAGTATGTAAGTGTTTTTTTGTAGTAGAATATGAAGACCAAATATGTTGTTAAATGGCATATGTTAACTTTATAAGTTCATATTACAGTTGAAATTTCGTAAATTATACTGCATTACTCATCTTCAGATGCGTATTTTCGTTTTCGGACAATAAACAGTTTTCATGTAAGAGTGTTTTATGAGTACAAACCTGTTATATACATGGCTAAAAACTGATCAGTAATGGCATTTCAGAAGTTGGTAGGAAGTTCCGGTGAATAACCTGTTTTGAGAGATTAGACATGGGATTTGCAACACGAACCCCAACTGTTTATTTCAGCATTAAATACGGTAATAATCAACAATTTCAGTTTCCAATTCACAAAAAGGAAGAATTATGAAGACGATTTATGTTAGGCACTAGGTAGTTCTAGAAGTTTCGCATTGCACTTAGGACGGTATTGTCAATACTGCATTTTTGAAGTTGAAAAATCGGGAGCTGAAGAATATGGATCTATAGATTTGTGAGAATTTGCTGCCGGTTTTGTTTTGTTTTGTATGCCCACGGATGGACCATCACTCACTTCATTCGGGCTGATTCCTTTAACTTATTTTTGTAATAACAATAACTGTCTGTATGAAATTTAACAACTCTCTTTCTACTTCTCTAGTGGACTGTTGGTTGTTTGTTTGAGTATCCTTGAAGGAAAGAACTAATTTGTATTCTCCAACATAACTAACAGACCATGACCTTTTTCAAGGTTTTTTTTATAGTTTGTTATTAGATGTCAATTCCGTAGACATTTTACTTCGCACCTCACGGCCAAACTGTTGCGTCTTATATTATTCAGATCCATAAATGCACATCACGTGCAGCATTTTAGTCGAAGATTACATAACAACTAACCAATGTGTTAGGAATACAGTTCTGGTTTTGTCTTCACGTTTTCGTTGGACTTGGCATGTTCGGGACGATGGGGGAGTGTGACGTGACTGGTACATTGAAAACGACCTTATGCTCGCTTATCGATTTAGAAAGCTGGACGTTCTTTTGGGGACGGGAATGCCTAACCCAAGCAGTCCTGGGCTCAGCTAGTTTTGCGCAGAACCATCCTAAAATTACAATGATTGCTTCGCGGAATCTTAGCATGTTACAGGACCTTTCGGACTATTGTAATAGAACAAACACACTGTAAAGTAATGTGAAACTGGAAAAAAGATTAATAAAATATACTGCCAATAAATTTCAATTAAAGTCGATGATGGTCACCGTTGGAACCGAATGGTTGTCCAAGAAAGAATTTTACATATGTGTCGTTTTGATTGGCCAGACAATCATATTCAAGATATATTGTCTCTCGAAAATGCACTACCAGGACACGCAATGAAACCGGTAACACCACCTATAGGTTGTTCCATATATAACATATGAAGTTTTTGGTAGATGAGGTCGAAAACATTGAACAACCATTCAAATATCGGCTGCTGATTTCATCTCTTCAGGCAGTAAATCAAACTTACACCTATAGACAATACTTTATAATAATTCAAGGTCTTCATCTTTGTCTAGTTTGGTGCGAAGGTGTCGCACCGACAAATTCAAAAACTTCTGTTTCGATGTGAGCCTTAAGGTGATATGTTACGGTGACGAAATCTTTGCCGCCTTGAGCACTAACATCGCGGACACCATATCTGTAACAAGAAAAGAAATTTAATAGGAAATAAGAGAAAGCTGAAATAGAAAATCAAAACAATATTTCTTTACTTTCTGATTACAATAAAACGTAATTGCTTTGGCATAAGACATACACACAATCAGAAATTCAACACAAACACCAACGAATATATAACCATTGTCTGATGAATGAAACACAAAACAGAAGTAGTATAATGTAAACAATTAACTACTGGAATAGCTGCTTCGTTACAACCAGCCATGCCTTGTTTGGAAAGGTTTCTTGGTCATCAGAAAAGACAAAAGTTGATGGTGTGTTGTGGCATATATTTTCTTTTTGTTTTTGTAGATCACTTCACTGCATCTCCATATGAGATACTTTCCACTGTATCTATTCTTGAATTACTAGAGAATTTGCGCACGCTTCTCAAGTTGTTTCACCCAGAAACATTTCTTATCTTATACGCGGACGTATATCCTGTCGAAAATTCGACATTGGGATTATAGCAAAAATTGGTAGCACTGACCACACACAGTGATTACCTCATGGCCATCACCGCCTGGTACTAGTGAAGTGGAGATAAATGGAAAAAACAAACGCAGGGACACTTGGAAGACAGATAAAATATACTGTCAATAAATTTCAATTAAACTAGATGAAGTTCACCCTTGGGACCGAAACGTCGTCCTATAAAAAATTTTAAGCAAATGCACAACCAGTAAAAGCAATGAAACCCGCAGTCTCACCTGCAGATGGTCCCAAATATAACATACGAAGTTTTTGGTAGATGAGGTCGAACAACTTGAACTATCATTCGAATATCGGCAGTTGATTCCATATCCTCATATACAGGCAATGTTTACTAATATTTCAGTCTTCCTCTGTCCAATTTGGTGCGAAGGTATTTCACTGACAAATTCTCAAACTCGTGCTTCAATGTGGCAGCTCCAGAGTAATAAATTACGGTGACGAAAACTTTATCTGTAACAAGAAATAACATTTAATCGAAAATAAGAGAAAGCTCAAATAGAAAATCAAAACATATTATCTTTACTTTCTGATTACAATAAAACGAAATCGCATTGGCATAACACATACACACAAACATAAGATCATTACACATACGAAATATAACAATTGTCAATTGTCTGTTGGTTTGTTCGTGCAGCCTGTTTGCTGACGATCAGCAAACTAATAGTCTCTGACTGTATAGATTCCGTACAAGAGAACGTTACGAGTTGGCTGAGGGAGCTAAGACTGATTACCGACAACTATTCCGCTGTTCGTACAGAAACTTCTGACTGTTTGATGACTGTCAAATTAGTCAGCACATAATTTGCCATTAAATTGTCAGAGCTCGAAATCAAGTACAATAATTATTATTCGAGTGTACATTTTTTTCACAATGAAGTAGACAATTTTGGAAAAGTTGGAGTATGTTCACTTGCTGTAAATCATAATGATCTAGGATTTATCGTCCAACTGCCCGAATGTGCCCGAATTTTCCTGTAGAGAGGAAAACATGGGACACTTTCTAGAAAAAATAACAGCACTCAAAAATCTCAAGTAGATTTAGTAGTAGTAGAAAGTATAACAATAAATTCGAATATGATTCGACGCATCGAATGACAACTTGAAGAAGGAATAGTAAGAATTTTAAATAAACGTCTACAGTGATGCGTGAGAAATGTACAAAGTATTGTGAATAACTTTTAGTGAAACTCGGATAGTAGTGTTTTTGTTCCTGTTCCGTTGTCGCCCAGTCTTCAAGCGTATGCACAAACAGTATTTATATATTATAGCTGCGCAAGTCCAGCCCAAAGCTGATGAAAAGAAAAACAAAATAACGAATACTGGAGATTTTGTGATACAGCTTTCTTTCACGGGCGCCAACGGAGAGGGAGTGCTGGGGTGAAAAAAATATTTGTCTATATAGGGTATTTAAATTCGACCCTCACCATTGGGATGTCGGAAACTCTAAGTGATACTAAGTCGCTAAAATAGGGGCAAAGTTGCGTATTCAGATAATCAGCAAAATGTCGCTTAGAAGGTTTTGAAGTTAATCGTACTTCCGGAAAGAGTCGTAAAAAACTAAATTTTCCAAAATGGTTTTAATCTTCTGACTTTATTTGTGGTGAAATTTCAAACTAAGTTGCACATCAGCTCTTCCACATTTTCTCCTCTTCAAGACAGAGCAATTATCATTACCTTAATTTTTTCTTGTAGACGACATATGGATTTTTACACACATGGATAGAATTTTTATTCAGATTTCACAAATGTAAAATATGTTATACGTTGACATTGCAAAACCTTAGTTATTCCAGAAGTTCCTAGGTAGGCTTTGAAATTATCAGATTTCATTTGTTTGCATAGCAACAGAGTTTGGAAGCCTGTGAAGACCTCTGGTTATTTAGGGTTATTATTGTTATATTACCATCAATAAAATTTTCATTTCGTGTTCAGATTTCACCATATCTTTTCAATTCCTTATAATTTTCATTCAACAATAAATTTATGGTCAACTAACGAAATACATCACTGAATTTGGAGCTGAAAAGTCCATTTAAATGTACAAAATTCCAATATAGCGTCCGTTTGAAAAAGCAAAGTTGATGATGGAAGTCTCAAATAAAGTCAGGAAAAAAATAAAGCCATTTTGGTGAGCGAAACAAATATCTGATAATTTCAAGTCCTACTTAAGAAATTCTTTTTTTAAGTAATCAAGGTTTGGCAACGTCTATGCATTTTTTTGGATCAAAATTAAAAACTCTGTCCTAAAGAGATAATAAAGGTGATGCTGGAGGTCAAGAGACGAACCGTCATATAAAAACTCTGATTATGCTTTCTTGAAGAGGAGAAAACGTGGCAATGTTAATGTGTAATTTATTTTAAGATCCCAATATAAATAGTCAGGAAAAAATCAAAACGATTTTGGGAAAATTCAGTTTTTCCGTCACTCTGCGGAAGTACTTCGAATTTTTAAACTTTCTAAGTGTCATTTCGTTGACTACCCCCATTTAGTTGACTTCGTATCTCTCACAGTTTCCAAGATCCCGATGGTGAGCGCCGAATTTGAATTGCCTTGTATATGCAGACTCTCACTAGAAGAAAGAAGCAAAAATAGTACAAGGATTTAATAACGTCTTTGAATAACAAAGGGTGCTGCTATACACTAAAAAGCTAAAACGGCTCAACATAACTACAATAAAATTAACCAGATCTGCTTACATAGCTATATGTTTCACAGTGTTCTCAACATGGACAAGAAGAACTGAGACTACGAAATTACATACTTAAATCGCGTAATTTCGCATTTTGCAACTGTAACAAAATTTTTCAAAAGATTAGTGATAACAAAAATTATCAATTATTCAAAGTTAGGTCCACTATTGTTCGGATGTTTCATGCTGTATTCATAATCTTCATTTTCCCATTACCGGGTCAATAAACAAAATATTTTATCTGCCACTTGCTCACCCGAAAGTTGCTGTTGAATTGTGGCACTGTTCTCCACAAAATTCAGGTTTTTGGGTTTCTTTCTCTCCTTCAGTAGATCCTCAAGGTCTTCATATTCTGGGTGTATCGCTCAGTTTTTTTACACCGAAGCAGTCGCGCAGTGAAGCCTATATGGCATTGTACCGCGGCTGCTTTGAGGAGTTTAAAGAAAGTTTGTTATTTCCATTTTTGAATTGCCTAAAGTTAGTAGAACTGGGAAAAGCTCCTAATGTATTGTTACACATTCTTGACACCCTCGGGACAAAGGAGCGGTCTTATCGGTCAGTTCTAGGTGTACGAAGTTCGACACGGTTACGATGGGAGGCCAAAGACAGGCAGGCACATGGCGCGGCGACACCATGGGAGAGAGCTCTGAGGAGCAAATCCGGCTGGCGTAGCTAGATCTCCAACGGCCCGTCGATGTGAAGGTATCCCAGACCCTCAACTACAGAAGAGTAATCGATCATTAAATGCCTTTTGCGAAGCAATTTTAGTCCTCAAGATAGTTTCGACACACACTCTGATATCTGTCACTGGTTGACTGGTGTCCTCTGATCTGTTAGAAGGTTATGTACGAACAGCGGATTAGCAGTTGGCAAACAGTCAGAAACTGTACGAACAGGTAATGATTCTGATTTTGATAGTCACGGACGAGTTACCGACTACTGTACGAACAAACCGTACAGCATTTTCTCTTAGAAAAATGCTACAAAATTATCTGATAAATGTATCACAAAACAGAAGTAATATAAAGTAAACAATTATTTACTGGAATAGCTGCTTCATTACAACCACCCAAGCCTTGTTTGGAAAGTTGATGGTGTGTGTTCTTGTAGATCACTTGGCTGTCACTTGATCTGAGATACTTTCCACTGAGTGTGCTTGAGTTAATACAGTTAATACGTTTCTCAAGTTGTTCCACCAAGAAACATTTCATATCATACATCATAACCTACTAGCCATCACCCAAACTCATACACAGCCTGTTGCCATCTACACATCAAATGAGCAATTCAATTAAGTTCATGCAAATTAGTTAGAAAATATTGAAAATAATTGATAAGAAACAATGTATATGTTATGAATTTTTGATAAAGGCATTTTATTTGCTGCTTATACTCGTAAAATATAAGGATATGTGTGTAAGAGTACTAATAAACACTCGAATAAACATTAATCTCAGAATGTTGTTGTCGATGTTTTACGGCGATATGTTGCTCCTGAAGTATCTCTTTACAATGCCCAGCAATAATCAGCAAGCAAATTGACACTCCATTTGACTTGATACCGTTTTTCCTTAGCAGAAATGTCTTGGTGAATTTTTAGAGACATGCTACATTTTATTCCGTTATAAGCATTAATTAATTCATTCACAATATCTTTATAATTGTTCGCCTTCACGTTGCCTAAAATATTTGCAGTAACTAATTTAAAAGCATTCCAAGCTCGTAATTCAGTTTCATTTAGAGCACTGTCAAATATATCATCCTTCATGATTTTCCGTATTTGTGGACCCACAAATATGCCCTCTTTAATTATTGCCTAAGTCTCGGAAATGTTTGTTTTAAATGCAGAAACCCTCTTCCATTTGGATCCATAGCTTTCACAAAAATTTTAAGAAGTCCCAACTTAATATTCAACTCGTTTTTGGGATCAACTAGTGATTCATCAGCAATGTTTCTGGGGCCCGGAGTTAATACCTGCCGTAGTGGCCACTCCTTCTGTTCATAATGACGACCTCGCGCACGACCGTCCCATTCACAAAGAACACAACAATATTTGGTTAGCAGAAGGGATATTACCTTTAAATCTGCACATATGGCCCATCCATATTCATTATAACGGATATGCTCTAACAGAACTCGCACATTTTCATATGATTCTACCGCTTTTAAACTAAGCTTAGAGGAATCAATGAACAGGCGCCAATCATTTGGATAATGTTTCTGTCCTAACGCGTCAAACAAATTGTTGACATCGGAGCAATATATCAATCAACTCCCTTTCTTGTTGCCGTTTTCGGTAAAAAGTAATGTTAACATCACCGTGAAGAAGAATCCATCCATTTAATCTTGACGCTAAAAGTTCCGATTGGGATTTTAACAGATTTAATTTTCGAACTAAATGATTAACTTCGCCCTGTGTGATCAAATGCGGCGCTGTTGAACATCCTAGCAGGTCAAACGGAGGTTCAGAAATTTGTACGCTTTCTGTACCATCACTTTCAGAATCGGTGGATTCGACTTTTTCATCCAAAGACCAAGATTCTGGTGGAACTGGGACAGAAAGTTCATCACTATGCTTAACGGGCCGCAAAGCTGATGGTAAATTAAAATACTTAACAGTATGTTTCGATTTTGGTTCAATACATTTAATAATTGTGAGGCAAAAATAGCAATCAGTAGTATGGTCTCGGTTATCTCCAAACCATGGGTACCGCAAAGGGCATTTTACGATTGTCGCCTCTTAACCAATCTGTTAAC